GTAGTTCTGGGATGATTCCTCACTGTTCTCATGATCATTGACACCCCACGAGGTGAGATCTTGCATGGTGCACCAGACCTAGGGAGACTGACACTTGTTTTGTGTTTCTTCCATTTGTGAATGATTGCACCAACTGTGGTCACCTTGTCACCAAGCTGCTTGGCCATAGTTTGGTAGCCCAGTCCAGCCTTGTGTAGGTCTACCATCTTGTCCCTGACATCCTTGGACAGCTCTTTGGTCTTTGCCATGGTGGAGAGTTTGGAATCTGATGGTTTGATGGCTCCTGTGGACAGGTGTCTTTTATACAGGTAACACAATGAGATTAGCAGCACTCCCTTTAAGAGACTGCTTCTAATCTCAGCTTGTTACCTGTATGAGAGACACCTGGGAGCCAGAAATCCTGCTGAATGATAGGGGATCAAATCCTTCTTTCCCTCATGAACATGCAGATCAGTCATCATTTGTTAGACGCATTTCTGCTGAATTTGTTGTTGTATTCTGTCTCTCAGTGTTACACCGAACATTCCATTGTTAGACCGATCATTTCTGTATGAGGGGCGAACATTCCATTGTTAGACCGATCATTTCTGTGTGAGGGGCGAACATTCCATTGTTAGACCGATCATTTCTGTGTGAGGGGCGAACATTCCATTGTTAGACCGATCATTTCTGTGTGAGGGGCGAACATTCCATTGTTAGACCGATCGTTTCTGTGTGAGGGGCGAACATTCCATTGTTAGACCGATCATTTCTGTGTGAGGGGCGAACATTCATTATCAGCCGGGGGGCAAATACACATTTCCTTCACTGTAAATACCTGTAATAAATAAATCAATAAATACACAATCTGCTGTAAAGCACAGAATGATACTAGAGGTCACCTCAGGCCTCCAGGACCCGAGCTTCTTCAGGCTTCGGCCTTGTGCGTTGGCATGCTCCCCTGCGATATGAATGTACATAACTGCAGTTGGCGCACGGCTCCCGTTATCACATTGGCCGCAAAGCGCGATGGAATTCCCCGGCATCAGCTGTTCCCCGTGGGGACGCCGGGGTTTTTCCCAGCCCCTGTTGTGTGTATCAACGTGGAAATCTGATTGTGAGAAGAAAACTGCCTGAGTTACCAAAGCATGTGTCAGCAGCAGATGAGCGAGGACTTGGCACAGTGCACCGTTTTTTCGAGGCGAGGATCTACTTGGCACACAGAACACGTTGGGCACATCTGCCGATTGTGATAGCAGCTGCAGCATGTGTTGGCACACACAGATATGCGTGGTGTTATTATCCCAGCACGGATGAGCGTGTCACCTACCTGTAGCGTTCCCATTACCGTCTCCCTTATGTAAACATTGCGTGCGTCTATATACCCATACTGATAGGTTGGCAAATGGAGCAGCTGCATGGTACGTCCCATTGGGGGTTGAACCCGTTATCTCTGTTCTATAGGATGGAATTGGTCTTATTCAGTAAGACCGTCAACGTGCAACGGGCGGTCTATTGTCTGTGCATCAGGTGTCATGGCTTCCAATCACACATCGCAGAGGCATAACTAGAACCTTCAGGGCCTCGGTGCAAGAAACCATGAAGGGCCCCCCTTTCCTCCGAGCCCAATGGTGGAACTCCAGGGCCCGGTCGCAAGTGCGACCTTTGTAACCCTGGTAGATCCACCACTGGTGTCAGAAGTTTTTTTTATTTTTGTTCATTCTTTTTTTTTTGGCATTTTAAATTTTTTTTTCTTTTTTACAATATTATTTTTTTTTAAATATTTAAAAAAAAAAATTTAGGAGCCCTGTTGGGGAGAGCTTCGGTGAAATATCAGGGGTCTAAACAGACCTCTGATGTTCCACCTTTGTTACAGCCTCAGCTGCACAGAATGAATGGGCAGGAATAGCTCTATACAAAGGTTTCCATTCATTCATAAGCTGAAGCATAGTAAACACAGTTTACTATGTTTCATTTATGAATGGACAGAGTCAGTGATTGGTATCGATCACTGACTGTCCATTTAGAAAAGGAAGGGGCCGGTAAATTACACATTTACCGGCCCATTCCCCGCTCTCCATCCTGACAGATCCCCCATAGCAGCCAACGGAAGAGGGGAGGGGTGAACCCGGCAGAGCTGCGGGGGAGGTCCAGGAATGAGCACAGGGGGCCCAGGGAGCATGGGGGACCGAGGAGTAATGGGGGGCCAGAGTGCGGGGAGGTGGAAAGCAGGGGGGTCAAGGAGAAGAGTACAGGGCCGGAGAGCGGGGGGCAGGGGGTGAGGAGCATGAGGGACGGACAGCACGGGGGGGGGGGGGCTGAGGAGCACAGGGGGTCAGCAGAAAGAAGCTGGATAGGGGTGGCTGCATATAGAAGAACTGATATATCCATGTTCCTCCTGCAGCTGCTGAATTCTCCTCCGTGCCTGCGTGGGTTTCCTCCGGTTACTCCAGTTTCCTCCCACACTCCAAAGACATGCTGGGAGGTTAATTGGTTCCTGTCTGAATTGGCCCCAGTATGTGTATTGTTAGGGTAACTCAGTTTCGGGTCGGCAGCCTCTGTCCAACCATACCAGATACAAAGCACTTTTGGAATCATGCAATTCAGACACTGAGGTGTGAAAAGCAAATTTCAGCGTTTTTTATTGTTGTACTTGAGTATGGAGGTAACACGGGATGTTCCGGGCGGCATCCATAAAGCACCAATCAGAATACATTCTAGATGTTACAATAACTCCCCAGATGGTGCGTAATAGAAATACAGCAACCAAAATAATAAGTTCTGCAAACCTTCAAGGCCGGAGACACTTCCCGTATGTTTTGCTCCATAAAATGCACCTAGATTTTAGAGGAGGAAAACGAGAAAAAAATTTTTTGAACCAATGGACTGCATACATAGTACAGGAGATGACCGGAGACTGCGGACATAGTACAGGGGATGACCAGAGACTGCGGACATAGTACAGGAGATGACCAGAGACTGCGGACATAGTACAGGAGATGACCAGAGACTGCGGACACAGTACAGGAGATGACCAGAGACTGCAGACATAGTACAGGAGATGACCAGAGATTGCAGACACAGTACAGGAGATGACCAGAGACTGCAGACACAGTACAGGAGATGACCAGAGACTGCGGACATAGTACAGGGATGACCGGAGACTGCGGACATAGTACAGGAGATGACCGGAGACTGCGGACATAGTACAGGGGATGACCGGAGACTGCGGACATAGTACAGGGGATGACCAGAGACTGCGGACACAGTACAGGAGATGACCAGAGACTGCGGACACAGTACAGGAGATGACCAGAGACTGCAAACATAGTACAGGGGATGACCAGAGACTGCGGACATAGTACAGGAGATGATCAGAGACTGCGGACACAGTACAGGAGATGACCAGAGACTGCGGACATAGTACAGGAGATGACCAGAGACTGCGGACATAGTACAGGGATGACCAGAGACTGCGGACACAGTACAGGAGATGACCAGAGACTGCAGACACAGTACAGGAGATGACCAGAGACTGCGGACACAGTACAGGGGATGACCAGAAACTGCGGACACAGTACAGGAGAGTGACCAGAGAGACACAGTACAGGAGATGACCAGAGACTGCAGACACAGTACAGGAGATGACCGGAGATTGCGGACACAGTACAGGAGATGACCAGAGACTGCAGACATAGTACAGGAGATGACCAGAGACTGCAGACACAGTACAGGAGATGACCGGAGATTGCGGACACAGTACAGGAGATGACCAGAGACTGCGGACATAGTACAGGAGATGACCAGAGACTGTGGACACAGTACAGGAGATGACCAGAGACTGCAGACATAGTACAGGAGATGACCAGAGACTGCGGACATAGTACAGGAGATGACCAGAGACTGCGGACACAGTACAGGAGATGACCAGAGACTGCGGACACAGTACAGGAGATAACCAGAGACTGCGGACATAGTACAGGGGATGACCAGAGACTGCGGACATAGTACAGGAGATAACCAGAGACTGCGGACATAGTACAGGGGATGACCAGAGACTGCGGACATAGTACAGGGGATGACCAGAGACTGCGGACACAGTACAGGAGATGACCAGAGACTGCAGACACAGTACAGGAGATGACCAGAGACTGTGGACACAGTACAGGGGATGACCAGAAACTGCGGACACAGTACAGGAGATGACCACAGACTGCAGACACAGTACAGGAGATGACCGGAGATTGCGGACACAGTACAGGAGATGACCAGAGACTGCAGACACAGTACAGGGGATGACCAGAGACTGCGGACACAGTACAGGAGATGACCAGAGACTGCAGACATAGTACAGGAGATGACCAGAAACTGCGGACACAGTACAGGAGATGACCAGAGACTGCAGACATAATACAGGAGATGACCAGAGACTGCGGACACAGTACAGGAGATGACCAGAGACTGCGGACATAGTACAGGAGATGACCAGAGACTGCAGGACATAGTACAGGGATGACCAGAGACTGCGGACATAGTACAGGAGATGACCAGAGACTGCAGACAGTACAGGAGATGACCAGAGACTGCGGACATAGTACAGGAGATGACCAGAGACTGCGGACACAGTACAGGAGATGACCAGAGCCTGCGGACACAGTACAGGAGATGACCAGAGACTGCGGACACAGTACAGGGGATGACCAGAGACTGCGGACACAGTACAGGAGATGACCACAGACTGCAGACACAGTACAGGGGATGACCAGAATCTGCGGACACAGTACAGGAGAGTGCAGACACAGTACAGGAGATGACAAGAGACTGCAGGCACAGTACAGGAGATGGTCAGAGACTGCGGACACAGTACAGGAGATGACCGGAGACTGCGGACACAGTACAGGAGATGACCGGAGACTGCGGACACAGTACAGGAGATGACCAGAGACTGCAGACACAGTACAGGAGATGACAAGAGACTGCGGACACAGTACAGGGATGACCAGGGACTGCGGACACAGTACAGGAGATGACCAGAGACTGCAGACACAGTACAGGAGATGACCGGAGACTGCAGACATAGTACAGGAGATGACCAGAGACTGCGGACACAGTACAGGAGATGACCAGAGACTGCGCACATAGTACAGGGAGATGACCAGAGACTGCGGACATAGTACAGGGAATGACCAGAGACTGCGGACACAGTACAGGAGATGGTCAGAGACTGCAGACATAGTACAGGAGATGACCAGAGACTGCGGACAGTACAGGAGATGACCAGAGACTGCGGACATAGTACAGGAGATGACCAGAGACTGCGGACATAGTACAGGAGATGACCAGAGACTGCGGACACAGTACAGGGGATGACCAGAGACTGCGGACACAGTACAGGAGATGACCAGAGACTGCGGACACAGTACAGGAGATGACCAGAGACTGCGGACATAGTACAGGAGATGACCAGAGACTGCAGACGTAGTACAGGAGATGACCAGAGACTGCGGACACAGTACAGGAGATGACCAGAGACTGCGGACACAGTACAGGGGATGACCTTTGTCTTGCATGCTCCCTGAGGAAGATCTAGACTGTGGAATGATCGAAACGCGTTGAGCTGTCTTTCCTCTTTTCTTGGTGGTTTCATATTCTTGTATTATCAGAGCGATATTCCTTTTAAACATTTAGTATTTAATACTATAATGGAAATCTATATGTAATAAAGTTGACAAATATCTTTTTTAACAAAATATCTCCTTCATTATATATGTATGATCCGACCCACATGGAAGAAATATATATTTGAAATACTACATTTTTGGCCATATTCAATACATTTCAATAAATACACATATATATACACAGTGGGGATGGAAAGTTTGGGCAACCCAGCTAAAAATGTGTATTAATGTGCATAAAGAAGCCAAGGAAAGATGGAAAAATCTCCAAAAGGCATCAAATTACAGATTAGACATTCTTATAATATGTCAACAAAAGTTAGATTTTATTTCCATCATTTACACTTTCAAAATAACAGAAAACAAAAAAATGGCGTCTGCAAAAGTTTGGGCCCCCTGCAGAATTTATAGCATGCACTGCCCCCTTTGCCAAGCTGAGACCTGCCAGTGTCATGGATTGTTCTCAATCATCGTCTGGGAAGACCAGGTGATGTCAATCTCAAAGGTTTTAAATGCCCCGACTCATCTGACCTTGCCCCAACAATCAGCACCATGGGTTCTTCTAAGCAGTTGTCTAGAAAACTGAAACTGAAAATAGTTGACGCTCACAAAGCTGGAGAAGGCTATAAGAAGATAGCAAAGCGTTTTCAGTTGTCAATATCCTCTGTTCGGAATGTAACTAAGAAATGGCAGTCATCAGGAACAGTGGAAGTTAAAGCAAGATCTGGAAGACCAAGAAAAATATCAGACAGAACAGCTCGCAGGATTGTGAGAAAAACAATTCAAAACCCACGTTTGACTGCACGATCCCTCCAGAAAGATCTGGCAGACACTGGAGTTGTGGTCACTATTCCACTATAAAGAGATACTTGTACAAATGTGGTCTTCATGGAAGAGTCATCAGATGAAAACCTCTTCTACGTCCTCACCACAAAAATCATCGTTTGAACTTTGCAAATGAACATATAGACAAGCCTGATGCATTTTGGAAACAAGTTCTGTGGACCAATGAGGTTAAAATGGAACTTTTTGGCCGGAATGAGCAAAGGTACGTTTGGAGAAGAAGGGGCACAGAATTGAATGACAAGAACCTCTGTCCAACTGTGAAGCATGGGGTTGGATCAATCATGCTTTGGGGTTGTGTTGCAGCCAGTGGCACAGGGAACATCTCACGAGTAGAAGGAAAAATGGATTCAATAAAATTTCAACAAATTTTGGATGGTAACTTGATGCCATCTGTGAAAAAGCTGAAGTTAAAGAGAGGATGGCTTCTACAAATGGATAATGATCCTAAACACAACTGGAAATCCACGGGGGATTACATCAAGAGGCGTAAACTGAAGGTTTTGCCATGGCCTTCACAATCTCCTGACCTCAACATCATTGAAAATCTATGGATAGACCTTAAAAGAGCCGTGCGACAGACAGCCCAGAAATCTCAAAGAACTGGAAGACTTTTGTAAGGAAGAATGGGCAAAGATACCTCAAACAAGAATGAAAGACTCTTGGCTGGCTACAAAAAGCGTTTACAAGCTGTGATACTTGCCAAAGGGGGCAGTACAAGATATTAACTCTGCAGGGGGCCCAAACTTTTGCAGACGCCATTTTTTTGTTTTCTGTTATTTTGAAAGTGTAAATGATGGAAATAAAATCTAACTTTTGTTGACATATTATAAGAATGTCTAATCTGTAATTTGATGCCTTTTGGAGATTTTTCCATCTTTCCTTGGCTTCTTTATGCACATTAATACACATGTTTAGCTGGGGTGCCCAAACTTTCCATCCCCACTGTATATACTGTATGTTGAAATGCATTTTTTTTATTACAAAATATATGAAATATATTTTAAAAAATATACTGTATCTCTTTAACCTCCCTAGCGGTCTGATGATGTCAGTATTTCTGTGCTCAAAGCGGTACATTTTTTTGCATGGAAATATGTATTTTGTTTATTGTAGGCTGTAATTTTTAGGAATAACTCCCTGAAATCTGTCCCAACAAGAGTCTAGTAAACATCCCGGGGAGGATAAAACTTGAAACACGAAATCATAAATTATAATATAATAAATAATCATAAAAATAATAATATAATAATAAATGTAATTCAATAATAAAATCAAACTAAAAACACTGAAATGTGAAATATAGCGCCAAGTTGGCCCATCGCTGAGCTCAGTCGCAGAATCGTTTTCAGTGTCTGATGAGGAATTTCCCCCACCAATCATTATCACTCAATTCTGCAAGTGGTTCTGATTTACTATCGCTGTTCTCTAGCCGGTCTAAAACCGCGTCTGACCTAAAGGGACGCTTTTCCAGGCAGAAAGGGCGGTAACAATGCAGGCAGGGCGCCGGACAAAGCACTCGGGACAAAATGTATGTGAAATGGTTTGATACAGGAATGTTATACTATGTGATTTTAGTGATTTTAGTGAATGGCACTTTTTGTCATTTTCAAATTTCCCGCCAGTTCTGTCCCCCGTACATCCCGATGTCACAGGGGACGGAACCTGGAAGACAGATGCCGGCATCGGCCGGAGGACATTACGGGGACACTGCAGGGGGGACATCGCGGGAGCGCAGGACAGGGTAAGTGAAGAAGAGATCCCGGGGCAACGCTGCAGTGTATTCCCGAGTGTAGCTTGGGGGGGTGGGGGGGTCACCGCTTGTGGTGCTGAAACTTTACCCCGAGCTACACTCAGGAATACCCCCAGGGGGGTTACAAATACTAATCTACATTTTCGGAATTCATTTACAAATATATGTTAAAATTACTTTTTTTATATGTTAAAACAAATCTGAAGAATATATTTTAAAAATATATATTTTTAAAAGTGTTTTTAGATATTTTGTAATGTATAAAAAACGCATTTCATCGTGCAGTATATATATATATATATATACGCTCCCCCCCCGCCTCACCACCTTGTCCAGTGATGGCGCCCCTACTGGCCGCTATTCCCATTGGAAAAGGAGGCTTTCTGGCTGTGGTGCCCATTCCCTGCACCGCTCCTTCTCAGGCTTAGATTAAAGGAGAACTAGAGGCAAAACGTTATTTTTTTTTTTGGATGGTGTAAGGGAGGGTTATAACCCTTGTGTGTTTTTTTTTTTTTTACTATTTGCACCCCATTGGGGAGATTTCCACACACTTCCCGTCCCATAATCAAAACAGGTAGTGAGAGGAAATCCCTGCAAATTAATCTCCCCCCTCCCCCAGGTCACCAGAACTAGTGTCTCCATTGGAAGATTTCTCCTCTATTACCGTTCTGGGGACAACTCAAAATTTGGGATTTTTTAAGAATTGCATTAAAGTATGTTACATGAAGTGTTTAAAGCAGAACTCCAGAATTTTTTTTTTCTGCTGATAAAATGTGGGGACCGGGGAGAGCGGATATAGTGAATGCGGGGTCCGGGGAGAGCGGATATAGTGAATGCGGGGTCCGGGGAGAGCGGATATAGTGAATGCGGGGTCTGGGGAGAGCGGATATAGTGAATGCGGGGTCCGGGGAGAGCGGATATAGTGAATGCGGGGTCTGGGAGAGTGGATATAGTGAATGCGGGGTCCGGGGACAGCGGATATAGTGAATGCGGGGTCCGGGGAGAGCGGATATAGTGAATGCGGGGTCCGGGGGGAGAGCGGATACAGTGAATGCGGGGTCCGGGGAGAGCGGATACAGTGAATGCGGGGTCCGGGGAGGGCGGATATAGTGAATGCGGGGTCCGGGGAGAGCAGATATAGTGAATGCGGGGTCCGGGGAAAGCGGATATAGTGAATGCGGGGTCTGAGGAGAGCGGATATAGTGAATGCGGGGTCCGGGGAGAGCGGATATATAGTGAATGCGGGGTCCGGGGAGAGCGGATATAGTGAATTCGGGGTCCGGGGAGAGGGGATATAGTGAATGCGGAGTCCGGGGAGAGCGGATATAGTGAATGCGGGGTCCGGGGAGAGCGGATACAGTGAATGCGGGATCCGGGGAGAGCGGATACAGTGAATGCGGGGTCCGGGGAGAGCGGATATAGGGAATGCGGGGTCCGGGGAGAGCGGATATAGTGAATGCGGGGTCCGGGGAGAGCGGATATAGGGAATGCGGGGTCCGGTGAGAGCGGATATAGGGAATGCGGGGTCCGGGGAGAGAGGGATATAGTGAATGCAGGGTCCGGGGAGAGCGGATATAGTGAATGCAGGGTCCGGGGGAGAGTGGATATAGCGAATGCGGGGTCCGGTGAGAGCGGATATAGTGAATGCGGGGTCCGGGGAGAGGGGATATAGTGAATGCGGGGTCCGGGGGGAGAGCGGATATAGGGAATGCGGGGTCCGGGGAGAGCGGATATAGTGAATGCGGGGTCCGGGGAGAGGGATATAGTGAATGTGGGTCCGGGGAGAGGGATATAGTGAATGCGGGGTCCGGGGAGAGCGGATATAGTGAATGCGGGGTCCGGGGAGAGCGGATATAGTGAATGCGGGGTCCGGGGAGAGGGATATAGTGAATGCGGGGTCCGGGGAGAGCGGATATAGGGAATGCGGGGTCCGGGGAGAGCGGATATAGTGAATGCGGGGTCCGGGGAGAGCGGATATAGGGAATGCGGGGTCCGGGGAGAGCGGATATAGTGAATGCGGGGTCCGGGGAGAGCGGATATAGTGAATGTGGGGTCCGGGGAGAGCGGATATAGGGAATGCGGGGTCCAAGGAGACGGATATAGCGAATGCGGGGTCCGGGGAGAGCGGATATAGTGAATGCGGGGTCCGGGGAGAGGGGATATAGTGAATGCGGGGTCCGGGGAGAGCGGATATAGGGAATGCGGGGTCCGGGGAGAGCGGATATAGGAATGCGGGGTCCGGGGA